ATAGCACTCTGCCCAAGAAAGCCTTAAGGCAGCTTACAGTAAGAGGATAGAAAAACTTATAAATCAGGAGAACAAACAAGAGAACAAAATGCAGCTTAACATCATGTGTGTTAAGTTGGCAGTATTGTTAAAAGTACCATTAAAATATTGTCATTTTCTCAATCTTGCAATGTCCTGTTTTTCTTCAGGAAAGTAATATCTAAAGTAATATCTAATGACTCAGCATCAAGGTAATTCTATTCTAGTTTAATATTTATAGGATATTTGTGACAAAGAGCATGAGTCGCATTTAACAAGGAGTTTTCCATTCATTTCCAAGCTAGAAGTTTTATACTGTTTTTACTAATAATTAAAACAATCTACCTCTGCATGCAGTTACAAATTTTAAAACCTCAAGTCAGAAATAGAAATTGAAGCTTTCAGTATAAGCTTACACTGGAAATGCAGAGATCAGAGTTCAGTACACAGATCCCTGAGCTAGCTCTAAACTGCTAGCATGGATATCCATAGCAGTTTAACTGCAGCAGTTAACAGCTCAGCACAGATTGCAAAATCTAACAAGAAGCTGGTTAAGTACATGAGCACTACCCCCCACACTGCTTCTGTGCTGCTACAGACCACTTACAAAGTTAGCTTGTGTATGTCTGTAATTACTAGTGCCAAGTAATAATGCATACCAAGTATTATTAATTCAGTCACACTAATCAACTTGCATAGCATGCTGCAGTACAGTATAAATTCAACATGATTAAAATTGCTACAACCTTATTTTACATATTGTAGGCAATTCTATTCACCAATATTCAAAGAAAGATGAACTCCAAGTGGAACAGGAGGGCTACTATGTTCACCAAGGGAATGAATGGCCTATCATGTGAGAAGAGGTTACATCACATGGCTTCTTTACTCTAACAAAAGGAAGGTTAAAGGAGGTATGACTGCTGCCTGTATGGGTACTAGGGGAGGGGAAGAACTGATTGAACTAAAGGACAATGTCAGCTCAATAAATGGGTATAAAAACTGGCTGTGAATAAATTTGACGCAGGAAACTAGTAGGTTCCCAACCCAAGAGCAGTGACATTTTGAAAAAGCCTCTCAAGCTGAATAAAGGGGCCCCAACCCTAAATTTATTAGGAGGGAAGTTAGCAAGTTCATGAAAGCTTTGACATGGTGCCTGTAATAGCAGAAGACTAGATTTGATGACTCAGGAGGTCCCTTTGAGTCCTGTATTCCTGTAAAGTGACAAATGCATTAAAGTACAGTATTTTATACCCAACCTCTCCCAAAAATCTCCACTTACCCTTGCAATCCAACATGTTGCTGTACAGGAGCAATGCCCCATTTACCTGAATATAAGATGACCTTGAATGTAAGACAACCTCCCAATAATTAGATTCTACATACCAAAAAATGTATTATAAATTTTCCATGTATGGAATCTAATTATTGGAGGATCATCTTCAATTCATCCCCTCCCCCCAGTACTGCAGGTGGTGGAAGGAGAAGTGATGATGGGGGCAGTAATGGATAGAGCGTGATAGAGCAGGCAGGGGGGCAGTAATGAGGCAGGCAGCATGGAGGCAGTGAGTGAGGCAGGCAGCTTGCCTCTGATGCCTGTCCCCCCACAAATCGCCCATTGTGTCCACCTCCCCACAGCTTCAGGTTGCTCCGATTCCCCCTGCCCCTGTTCCTCCCTCCTCCATGCCACTTCTGCTACCTGCAGCCTCAGGTCCCCACCTCCCAAAATCTCCCTCCCCACCCCATCTGCCCCCCTTTCCTTTTCTCCACACCAACAGGCTCCTTCCCTGCAGCCTGGGGCACAGCTCTAGCCCGCTCCCATAGCAGCAGCAATTGAGAACTGCTGCTAGTGGGCTAGGCTGGAACAGCAGTACTGACTCCATGCCACTGTTGTGGGGCTGGACTGGAGCAGGGATGGAGCCTGCTGGCACAAAGCAAAGATAAGGAGGGGTGCAGCAGACTGGGAGGGAGATGAAGCAGGAGGAGGGTGGGGGAAAGGAGTGGCAGGGCATGCAGAGGCAATGCACGATGGGGAGGGGGGCAGGCAGCAGCTGTAGCTTCAGCTCCAGTCCCAAACCAGGATACTAAGTGACTATAGTTCACCCTTCACTTCTATCAACTGCAGCTCAATTCTTGGTAACTAAACAATATTGCCAGGTTGCAGATAATAGTTGAAATGCCACAGGTTGTATGCCAGTCACTGATCAAACTTGAACTGCTGATGCATGAAGAACAGACATCCAACTGAAAGAAGCCAAGAGATTCTACCATGCCTTTGTTTTCCAAAAGGTTTTTGCAATTAAAAAAGCTTCAAACAGCTATTTCCCACTTTCAACACAGGATTGTTTCTTTAGAGGAGAAATTTAGGTCCGTCATTTTCATTTTGCTTCAACTTACTGAATCTCAGCTAGAGATCACAGCTTATAGCCTCCTCTCACACAATTAAAAAGATTCGTTACCTCCTGTACAATTTTGTAAAAAATAATCATTCTATTCTATGCCATTTTACTTACCCGTTTATCAATGTCATTGTGTTGGAGCTGGACAAAGCGAGCACTAATAGCAGCAATATAGCTCTGCTGATTGGAGAAAGCCACTCTCCCAGCACCTTTTGGGTACTTCAATTCTGGGTCAGTATCAATGCCAGCATAGCAGACACCTCCATATAAACGGTCCATAATCATTGCCAATTCAACTACAAGGAAAAAATTACCAAATGTTGTAAACTCAAAGTACAGGAAGTTCTCAAGGCAAACAGAAAAGGAATTTAAAAGTTATACTGGACAAAGAATAAAACCTGAACATCTGAAGTATACTAAAAATGTAACAAAAATGGCAGAAGTAATAAGGAAAAATTTCCTGAGATTCTATCTTGTGTAACAAGCAGTATGTCATTATCAGTTATACTTCATCCAAATGTCAATGAGACAATAAGAAAATGCAGGCATTGTTTCCATAAGTATTGTATCTTTATATTTGATGGTATACATTTCCTGACAAAACAGTAACCCAGTAGTCGTAACAAGAAAAATATAAATAGAAACATTTTCTGGTTTATCATTGTAAACATTTGATCTTAGAATCATATTCGTTTCCTTGGGCTTTTGCATTCATTTTAAAGTAGCGGGTGGAGGATGGAAGTCTATCAGCTTGCAGTTTATGAGCTCCAGTCCTTGAAGCCATCTAGGTCCACTAAATTTATACATAGTCAAGTAACTCCTGGCCTTGGTACCTTACAGTTTAACTGTATTTTCACATGTCAGTATGTATATTTCAAATGTTCTTGAATTTGGTAAATGGAAACTACAATGGTGCAGTTGTTACTCGTGTCTGCACTCATTCTTCGATGTTTCTGGTTGGGAACCAATTGGTGCAGGTCAGAGGTGTGCATACATACATTGCCCTAGAATTTCAGGTAGAACAGTTATCTTTCAGGCACTGAAATGCTGTGCCTCCAACATCAGGTTGTAGGAGCGAGCACCTAGCCAGTATGCCTCACACGGCAACTGGGGGTGAGGTGTGCTTGCATTCATGTTTTGGCAATCCCAGGCAGTGGGTGACCTGTGGTTGGGGGTGTGTTCACTTTTCTTCTTTCCCTTCTCTCTTCAACATGACTTCAGTTAGCTTTGATAGCCTAAAACTGACCAAAATCTGCAGTGTGCTTGCCTGATTTGGGGTTACTTGAGAAAGAGGAACTGCCTAGAACCACATTTCCAGGGCTAGTGGGGAGGGGGAACGATGAGGGCCTATAGTCAAGTAGTGAGCAAAGACAAAGCTAGTTGTTAGAAAGATAGCTTTTATTGAACAAGCAATGCAAAGAGGAGCTCACTGATTTAAAAGAAAAGCTGGGGGGAATATAATTTTAAGCCCTTTAGCTTTTCAGAGATTTTGTGCGACAGTTACCAGATCTGAATTGTCAGACCAATAACTTCAAATAGCATGACCTAAGCATCCAAATAACGAGATGAACTTGAGAGTCATTAGACTGCCCACCCCCCAAACTCTTCCCAAAAAGTTCCTCCCCCAAGTATGAGGTGATATCAGCATGGAAACGGATTCTGAAACAAATGAGCATCTTCACCTTACTCCTTACATGCATCTTACTCAACTCCTGCTTATCATGTTTTCCTCTGATCCCCCCCTTCTCTGCTGCTGCCCCTCCTTCCCCCAATTACCTCTCCAAATGTTTCCTTCAAGTTTACCACCGCACTCTGAATACCACAGCCATGCAGTCCCTCCTGGCATGTTAAAAACCTAGCAATACCCCTGCTCTTTTCAACTCCACCATCCTTATCGCACACCAGTGCCTCCATTGAACATCCCTAGCATGCTCTAGCACAGCTCCTAGCAAAATTGTACCCCCCATCAAAAAGCTCCAATGGTGGTATGTTTAAAAAAAAAATCCACACCGTCACATTCCTTGATTTCTCCCTAATCTCCAGGGAAAGCTCTTATTTTGGGGGCAAGGAAGAAGCTACATGGTCAGGATCCCTGCTGCCCTCCAATCTCAGTGAACTGGGTGAAGATGGGGGTAGAAGTCTGTGGTCAAAAGTGAAAGGCGGAAGCTCCAATGTGCTGTTCCAATGTTTACCTTTGTTCAGCGCACACAAGGCTACCCAAGAACTGAAAGCAGCAGCTACATAAGAGGTGCAACAGACAATAGTGGCCAAAGAATTCCAAACCTGGCCCTTGATCTTTACAAGATAAAAACTAATTTTATCAGTGGTGACACCTCTGGATGTACCCCAGTATCAGTATGTACATAGAAATCAATTACAGAAATCACTGATCAGTACAACATGCATAATGCAGTCATTCCTGCAGAGGACAATATTTCCAGAATTGGACCTTTAAAGTAACTATCAAGCTAAAAATCTATCTAGACTTTGCTGTTTAGGTTAAACTAAAGTATACCATCACAGCAAAAATGCTGTTTTAAAAACAGTTTCCTAATTTGTAGTCTGAAAATTACCCTCATGTTTGGCTAAGGATGCGGACAATAAACAAGTTACACTGAACTGAGTCAGCAAGATCCACAGTAATTTTCATATGTCCATTATGTCTCAGGTAACTCGAAGCTAAACCAAGATGTTTTATATTCAGGCGTAAACTAACTGCTCAATTACCACTATTTACCTTCTACTTAATGTGGGATAGAACAGATGTATAAGACAACTGTCATGGATCAGACAACATAGGGCAAGTACTTGCTTCAACTTAGTATAGCTTGTCTGTTCACACCCTCAAACTAAAATAATTTGACAACACCAATTTATTGTATATAGTTTCTAGCCAGTTTCACTTTTAGATTCTTATGCATTAGCGCACTACAGGAATGTTCAGATTTATATTTCCCTATCATGTTTTCAAATCCAAACAAAATTCACTGAAATTTGGTCACCATTGTAGTAAATGTCATATAATTATTTTTCTTTAAACTAAGCCTATTACTTGGAGCCCAAAAAATATTTCTATAAGACTATAATGCCTCAGCGCTAATATAATACAAATCATTACATTAATAAGATACTGTTAAACTCTACACTGGCACCAGCTAACATAACTTGTTCCCATATTTAGGTTCTATGAAACATCAATTTTAAAAGGTCTAATTTGATTTTGGTTTACATTTAGAAGTCCCCTACATTTCCAACCTACAAGGATGGTTATAGCGCTTCTGAGGTCCTACAGAAATCCAGTCATTTGGGCCCCTTTAAATGAGTTGCTGCTTTTCCCTGCATTTAAGATTATACCACGTTATTTTATAAAAACGCATAAAGCATCTACAAAATAGGACAGATTAACTGTGTTTAAAGTCAGCCTTGAGCAGATCTATTCTTTACAAGCTTGAAGGGGCAAACACAGTCTTTTGTGGAGAAGTAGAGATGAACCCTTTGGAAGAGTAAAGAGAAGGTTAAGACTAGATGACCTATGAAGGTCCCCTCCAGTCCCACTTCTCTATGACCCTTAAAAAACAAAACAACACTACAGCAAACAAAAACACCTCTGGTTCCACATCGGGAGGCAGCAAGTTCTTCAGCCTGTCCATGTCAGCTCTAGCTGAATTGCTGTATTGTGCTACTGCATGAGAACCTCAAAAGTAAGACTGGCTACCAGTCATTTTCATTATCCAAGCTAAACAAGGTTTTAAGAACGTTAATGTTTCTTGTACTAGTTTAGAATAAGAAGCCAACCAGAACCTAAAGACATAGGGAATTTTTTTTTAATTATAGTTTTTAAGTCTGATATTGGCATGTCACTTTAAAGTGAGACTATATACCAACCTGTACATTTTTAATATGAAATACACCACAAGTCAGAGTCATTCTACCAAACTAAATAGAATTCCTGCTCCGCATAAGTGGACATGGAAATGATATACAACACAGTAACTAGTAGATTCTCCTATAGTATTGGAAAACTTGTAAGTCATCCTTTGACTGGTGAGCCTATGGAGTCCTAAAAGGCAGGTCAGTCTGAAATAAGCAACCTTACTGCTGCTGTTTTGCTTTTTTGTTTGTTTGTTTTAAGAAAAATGCACATAAACCCATAAGATTCATAGAAAAAAACCTGCCGCTTTCAAATGTCCTACACTCATTTCTAACCTTAAGTTTAAAATTTTAGTGCAGTAGTAGGAGAATCTGGATAGTCTTGCTTTGGAGAAGTTCTAATAAATTCACTATTTAAAAGGCATTTTTTTTCAAATATGAATTACAATATAACAGGTCTAAAATATAAAAACATCTAAACATAATATTAAGGTTTTTTAAGTGGCATGATAAGAAATAAAGTACATCATACTTTCTAATTTTGAGATGACTTCTAATTTTAGATGCCCAACTTTAAAAAAAAAGTTGGATTTCCAGAGGTGCTGAGCAATCACAATTCCAAATAAAGCCATATTGTTATCTTAATTAGTGGTTATTTTGAAGGTAAAAAGTTTTATTTTTACTCTTTGAACAGAAAAAGTGGATATGCTGGAAAAGTAATCCACATATATTGTGAAAAAATCCCTTCAAAGCGGACAGAATATCTTTGCCTTAGAATATTGACCCAGGTGCTGACAGCATGGTCCATCCCATCTTAAATTTCTGTGCCTACTCACCAGCTCGGAGGGGGCGTGGAACTCCCCCAACAAAGATGGTTTTTCTTGGGTCCAAAGGCTGAGAACCATCCATTACAAAGTCACTATCACTGAGGTTCCAAGGTCGAATTTGCACCTGAAAAAAATTTGTTGATTTTGTCTTTACTTCATTGCTAATTTCCCTTACTTAAGTAATCAAAATGAGAAACAACTTGGGAGTATTTAAGATAATATATTAAGGCCAATTAGAATAAAGGACATATATGCATATGCACACGTATATTTTTTTAAATAAACAATCAGAAAAATTATGGGATACAAAAGTGAAAACAGTACAAATATACCATATTATCTATCCTACTAAGTATTTGTAAAGCACAACATAGTGTTCATTTGAAAAAGGCAAACAATGTATCACTTCTAGAGGCCATACTTGAGTTGATTCCCTCAGGCATTCATCTAGTCCATTCTTTCCCAGTTTGCCTTTCCCACATTCTTCATTAAAATATGTAAATAGACATTTGGAGCTTTATCATGTATAGTGTGAATTTAAGGCTGCAGGTTGGACATTCAACTTCCTTTTAATTGTATGGAGCTTTTCACAAGTTTTT